CTCGCCTTTGTACACTTATCATCATTCACAAAACTCCACCCAATCTTAACAAAGCTAGGCTAACAACTAAACTCTTTGGTGCAAGCTGTCCACTGTACTCTCCCAAGCCAGTGACCAAACCTGACTTGGGCTCCATCAGTTCTTTTAGAATTTACCAAGACCAGTAGTCTTGACCACAGATGGGGCTAATGTACTCTGACTAGTGATGGCACAAGGGTTTGTTTAATAGAAATCCTTTCACGTGGTTCTCAATCTCGCAAGGCACCAATCTATTGCATCGAACCTCAGTCATCTGAGCTTCCTTTCCACCACATTTATCAGGTATACAGTCCGCTGGCATGGTTTGGGTGCACCAGACACTAGAATATTTACCCAAGTCAGTAGTTGCAGGCTAATGGATGTCATGCACCTTTGCAGTCCTCTGTCCTAGACTCAACATATCTCTTTATCTTCAAAAGCAAACTCTTACTTTTGGTCATGAGTACTTCCTTGGCCAGAAAAAATTACATTATTTTAAACTTATTAAACTCAAAAGATCGAGCAAGGGTAATATTATCACTTCATAAACTCCACAGCAAATCCTGATGGAATAGCACCAAAATTTATTTCTTATCTACTTGTGGTATTTTCTGGTAAAACTGATTTACCAACAAGTATAAGAAAGAAGGATATGCTGATAACTACAGACTCGTTCAGGAAATATGGAGTACGTGTAAAATAAAGTCGGTAAAAATAAATACTAACTTTATTATTTCACAGACAAAAAGAAAATGCACCATATGTACCTGCACTCATGAAAAGACAGGAACTTCTATTAGGATGTGTTTAGTTCTATAGTTTTCTTTCTCTTATGATTGATTTCTGTAAAACTAAACACAATGATCTTGATTTAAGTCTTTACTTGATGATCTCAGAGTAGAAATGAGCTAAAAAAGTTTACCTGATTTCAACAGGTAAACTAGGTTTCTTTGTCTTGCCAACAGCATCATTTCGTGACCTCTGTTCTGTTACAGCATTGATCGACTGTTCCGTTTAGATAACGTCAGTTCGGCCAGAAAAAGATATTACAACGCTTATCCTTTCAACCTATATTTTACTGCAATATCCATTCTGGCAGAATAGACATAAGCTACTATAGGAGTAAACCAACTACAATAAAGCTATCTCAACGCTAAGACTGCATACAAACTGAATAAACGATTTTAAAAATATTCCTATATAAAGCAAGTATAAAACGTATTATACGCTTGCACATCACCAGTACCAAAAAATGGACAATTCATCTGGGAGGTTAACTAGTTTTCAAAATGAATTCAGCCAAGTGACCCAACAAGTATATAAGAAGCCTCTGAATTTGCACAAAACCAACCTTTCGACTTATTTCAACCAAAGAATAAATAAATAAAAAGGTAGGAAAATCCAGCAATATTCTTATTTTAACCATTTACATTTGTCAAAATTATCTTGCTTGGTTCCTGAGGAGCTATGAAGACAAAAAGAAAAAAGAATTCCCCGCTACTCGTCGCGGTTCCCTTTAATGTTGCCATTATTTTTTCTTGAAACTTTGGAAAGCAAAGTCGATATTTTAACAAATATATTTAATTTATTTTTGCAATTTCAACATGATTTCAGATTTATCAGTCTGAAATCTAGTTTTGTATTGCAGTGGACGCGAGAAACATCTAAAAACAAAAAAATGATGACTGTTGCTAATTTGTTTTAAGAATTATTTTTTCTGAAGTGGATTTTGGTTTTCATAGAGTACAAAATTACGATTTTAACGATACCAGATGCCGCTTAAAATGAAAACTGTCACTGCTGAAGAATAAATTTTCATGTTTTGAATAAAAGTGTATATTTTGTGGAATTTCGCGTAAAGATATTCGAGGGCTATTTGCGCTAACCGTCTCTAGCTTTGAAGATATATATATTAGAGAAAAAAGGCAGCTATTTAATATTACACACCGTTAATTCTTGAGCTGCTCTTTACAAACGAATAGTTGGTTTGATCGTCACATTATAACGCCCCCTCGGTTGAAAGGGCATGCTCGCTGATGGGATTCTAACTTGCAGATTGCGAGTCGAACGCCCTAACCACAGGGATCGATGAAAAGTATTTTCAATACTGTTGGGTCCCCCAGTGGCACCGCGGACTTCCAACGCTAGAAACCGGGTTTGTATGTATACCCGTGGTGTGGAGAGCACAGATAGCCCATCGTGTAGTTTTGTGCTTAACTTCAAATAAACAATACTGTTGGGACTGGATTTATTCAAACTGATTAGTTTATTATTCGTGAGACTAAGAAGTATTTAACACAGATGCTAGCTATAAAATCGCCACCAGAGGAAGTAACCAAAAAACAATTTAAATGCAAAATATAGGTGTACTCTACGTCACCAAAGCGCTGAAATGCCATTACACTGTACAGCATACGCCGCTTATAAACCATTACTTCTACAGTTGGTCGCCGTTTATAGGTGGTAGAAACGGTGCATAGAACAACATGAAATTTTCGCCATGTTGGTTAATTGAAACTAAATTTCTTTACATAAGCACAAAATAAGCAACTACATTTATATATATATATTTAGTAACTGTTCATTAATTCAGCCAAAAAAAAAGCTACAAATATGAAATCCATCCTAACTACACATTTCTTGTCTGGTTTACCAAAGCTAGTCCAATAGCTGTATTGTATAAGTTGTATGGACAAACTACCCAGGAAACTTGACAGAAGGAAGGCAATCTAATAGTTTTGTGTTCATCTTCTGGCCTAGGCCTGAATACGGCTAATAATAATAATATCAGTAATTTGCCTACACAGTTTGTTTAAAATTCAAGCATATTTCAATTGTAAATCTTATTTTTAACACACTGTTATTATAATACAGTTCCATAATTTGTTACTTATGGACCACGTGCTGTAAAAAACAAACTTTGCTAACTATACAAATGTATTCACCACGTCACAATCAAACAATAATCACAGAGGTTGATAACTCTGACAAGAAAACATTGTTATAAGAGACCCCCCTCACCAAGTTGGTAGTTAGAACACATTGCAACATAAATTCTAATAACCATTTCTAACCTGATTACATACTTGATGCAGTAATAAGTGATGATAAATAAAACGTACTGTTTTTCAATTTCTACTGCACCATACATGTGAAAATACAGAAATCAATTTCCATAAAAATAAAAACATTTGTAATAATAGTGCTTATAGTGGTACAGGCTTGTTGTTTGAATATATGTTGGTAAATTCTATTTATTTCTGGGTAGATAAATTTTCTATCTTATCTTTCCTGATGATTTATATGTAAGTGCACCAAATATAGTTCAAATATAATAAGTAAAAAAATAAATTAAGGAATCTACTTTTTATCATCAAGTCTTTTGGATATAAAAATGAATGATATACTCACCATGAAGCATATGATTACTTGTTATACTTGTCCTTAGTTAACAGATTTTATGTTACTGACTTGTTCAGATTTACTTTTAAAAATTATAAATACTTGCATTATCAAATAAAAATTATAAGGCCATTATCATACTGTACTCTTTTCTTTATACAAGTGTCATACCTTTAGTTAATTCTATGCAATCACATATACATAAAAAAATATATATATATATATATATATATATATATATATATATATATATATAATAGTAGTAATAACAATAATAAGTAATA